AGAAAGAAAATTACACTAATAAACACATGTCTTTTTTTTGTCTTATCTCCATTAAATTATTATTTTTACATGAAAGCACTAATAACAGTAATGCTCGATAAAATCACTAATAAAATGAATGCTTGATAAAATCACTACGAAGATAATATATGAAAATATCAACCCATATGAATTCGATGTTTATTCTCTTATCAGATTAATCAAGTTGTGTGACTTCTAATGTTTCATTTATCATCATTATAGACAAGTCAGATAAACAAATGTTAAAAAAAAACAGCAAAATTTCATACACAAAACTATACAACACATCAACAACATATCCAACCTCCGCGCTTATGTGGAGACTATGCATCTAGTAATAATAATATAAGCACTCCTAATTGGATTTTGGGTTAATGGTGCTCTAAGATTTAGATTCCCCTCTCTTTTTCCTTTGATTTCTTATTATATAGCCGGTTGGAAGATTTGGATTCTTGATCCCCACGTGTATTCAACGTCATCAATGTCTCATTTAATGCTCTGATCTTCTTTACTTTTTCAATTGATTGATCCGGTCGGTGTTGATTATCTTACAGACTTGTGATGCGCCTTCGTTATTCTTTCTTCTTTAGGTTACAGAATTTTAATGAACCTTTAGAGTATTGGACCGGTTCTTTGAACCAGGTTTGGAGCTACAAAAGATTTCAGTAATCTATTGTTCCAAATCTTCTCCTCTCCAAATATAAGATCACTAATTGATGTCATAGGATGGACCACATGAGGCCATGAGCGATTGCTCTAGCTGGTATATGGATCCTCCCATGCTCTTATGATCTTATCTCATATCCACTATGAGCATTTTATTTATTATCTCACGTATTTTCTCCTCAGGTTCTTCCTCAAAAGTGTATATGGGAACTGGAAGCAATCTTCATAATCACTCAACAAGAAAAGCTAGATTAAACTCATATATTGCTTAAAAGTTCAATCCACCCCTTTCCTTGAGTAAACACATCTTCTTCTACTTGATCCAATGAATTCTTCTTTTGGGTGGGTTCGAACTCCACCAAAAACACATAATAATACTAGAAAAGTTTTCACCAATTTCCGACAGAAGTAAAAAACTTGACATCATATAAGTAATTAGACTCAGAGCAATATATGTTAATAAAACTTCTTTCTCATCTTAAGACAACTATCTGGTGGCCACCATTATTTCTATTTTGTAATCACTTCTTAACAAAAAGCAAAGAGTTTGTATTTTGATTTGCTAATATCCTTTTATATGTCTAGGTAAGTATTCATATCTCCTTCATTTCGAATACCCAAAGCAGTTCTGATTGAGTCTTTCAATGTTCCAGATCAAGTTTGGATCAATGTTTCAACATAAGCTCTGATACCAATTCAAGTTTGGATCAATGCTTCAATATAATCTCTGATACCAATTCAAATCTCTAGAAACAAAGAATTATAAGAACAACTTTTCTTATTAGCTTTAGAAACTACTCAAAACTAAAACTCACAATATGTTTCTCTTAGATCATTTATGATCTACTCTCTTAGATCTTATGGAACACCTCTCCATAGATTTCTATTTATATGCAAGATAATTCCCTTGAACATGTGGGATATGGAAAACACAAACCTAATCTAATAGAAAACGTCATTTTCCTATTTCTAGATTTCCTTATTGTGTTTATCTCTTAACATATTAAACATCTAATAATATGTTAAGTTTCCACAAGCTTGGAATTACCCAACATTCACCCCCTTAATTCCAACTTGAATTAGGGATCAATTTCTTGAACTCCGATTAAGCTCCTCATTTGCTTGAACTTAATCCTCAAGTAAGCATCCATCACCACACGATAGTATGCGAATCCATCCATTGGATCCACATATTTCTCAAGGTTAGATTGGATGTTCTTCTCACTTTTGTACCGCCTCTTCTTAGAATTGGCCCAGTTCTTGTAGAATCTTCTCCTGACTCTTCACTTAAGTTGCGATGAGTCTTGCAGCTGAAACTCACTCTGGTCACGTCCGCCATCTTGCGTATGTGAGCTGTGTTACACACTTCCGTCTTTGTGTCACATTCGTGAGTCGTGTTACACGTCTCCATCTGTGTATCACATACCCCTGCATGAGTAGTGTTACACGTTTCCATCTTTGTGTTACATACCTCTGTATGTTTAACACCAGTCGGTCTAACCACATGCTCCACTGGTACATGTGTTGTAACACACGCTTTCATATGTGTGTCACACATGATTCCTTGAGCATCTATCTTTGGTTCGTCTCCAGCTTTCAACAACTTGTAACTCGACTCCATTGGAACTTGAGTCGTGTTACACACTGCAATATCTATGTCACACCAGATTCCTTGAGAAGGACTCTCCTCCTTTATCGTGATTCCATCTGCTCCTTGAATCTTGTAGATCCACTTTAACCATGTAGGTTTAGCAGCCAGTCTATCTACAAGCTCCCACGTCTTGCTTCTTGTGATATCTTCCATCTCAGCTAGAAGCTCCCACGTTTTGCTTCTTGTGATAGCTTCCATCTCGGCTACCATATCTTCAACCCATAAGTAGTTCGGCAACTTCAACTCAGCTGAGGTAAACTCTCCTCCTCTATCGATGCAGCTTAGATTATACTTAGCCGAGGCAAAATCTCCTCCTCTATCGGTGAAACCTATATTGAACTTAGTTGAGACAAACTCTCCTACTCTATCGGTGAGAAAGGTTCTGATGGGTTCATTCAACCTTTTGAACCGATCGAATACCTCATGCTTCTTCTTCAATAGTATAACTGGGAATTCATGTCTAATTTGCTTCTCTGTTAGACATGCGTTAAACACGCCATCTCCGTGTGTTACACTCGTGAATAAGTGTCTGATCTGCTTCACTGTGTCACACACGCCTTCTTCGTGTGTTACACTCGACATTCTTTTGACTAACGTCTGAAGTCTTGCCCTCCTTACACGAACAGCTCCAAGGTGTCGTGATTTGATGGCGTTCCAGATGTCTTCGGAAGCGGCTTGTTCTCCCACCTGGAGAATCAAGCTTTTGGAAGCGACTTGTTCTCCCACCTGGAGAATCAAGTTTTCGGAAGCGGATTGAAATAAAAGAGCAATCGCAACACCGTTCTTCTTTTCATCATCCGAACCAGGTTCTATCGTGTCACGTACTTCATGAACACTCATCATAACCTTCATCCTCATCAACCAAACGGTATAGTTTGATGATGATAACATAGGACATTGGATGGATGTAGTTCCAAGGTCCTTCGTGCGTGGAGCCCTAGTCACGTCCGCCATCTTGCTCGCGTGTACTCTTGGTCACAAGCACCATGATCAAAGCTTCAACTTAAGCTTAGATCGAGTCTCCAACCTGAGGAGCTCTGATACCAATTCAAGTTTGGATCAATGCTTCAACATAAGCTCTGATACCAATTCAAGTTTGGATCAATGCTTCAACATAAGCTCTGATACCAATTCAAATCTCTAGAAACAAAGAATTATAAGAACAACTTTTCTTATTAGCTTTAGAAACTACTCAAAACTAAAGCTCACAATATGTTTCTCTTAGATCATTTATGATCTACTCTCTTAGATCTTATGGAACACCTCTTCATAGATCTCTATTTATATGCAAGATAATTCCCTTGAACATGTGGGATATGGAAAACACAAACCTAATCTAATAGATAACTTCCTTTTCCTATTTCTAGATTTCCTTATTGTGTTTATCTCTTAACATATTAAACATCTAATAATATATTAAGTTTCCACAAGCTTGGAATTACCCAACACCAAAATTTCCTTCCCAAAGAAAAGAAAAAGAAATGATCAAAATTTATACATTGACCATATATGCTTTCTCTGTTCCATAAAAGTCTTTATTTCCATATGCTTTCTCTGTTTTGAATACGCAAAACAGTTTTGATTAGTGTTTTGAATCCAATCCGGATCCGTGGTTGAACCTGTAAACCGATAATCAAAAATAATTTCGGTTTGAATTTTTTGAAAAAACAATATTTAAAAATTCAATAAAATCCACAGAAATTATCGAAACCCGGAACCCATTTACCGACTGGACTACTGATTGAACCAATAAACAACTTTTACATTTTTAGTTCTTAGTTATGTTTTTAGAATTAGTTTTGTTTTCTAAATTTCTAATTAAGAAGTTAAATTTCAGTACTATTGCCATATTCTTCTGCTGACCTCTGTCGACTAAGTATCTCATTTCTTTTTATTACTTTGCTTATCATATCTCGCTTATTACATTTTACATGTTCTGTGTTCTAAGTTTTACTATGTTTTGCTTTTTGTATACATGTTTCTAATAGTTTGGATATGTTGTAAGTTCTAATGTGTTGCTAACAAAAAAGTTTAAGTAGTCTAAACTATTTTTTGATATTTTATTTGTCAAATGAAAATAAAAATATAGTATTTTCTAAATGTTTTTTTAAAAATATATATACATATACAAACTCTTATTTTGTATTTTTAAAAATATTTAAAAAATATTTAATTTAAATTTTTCTATTTTTATTTTTATAGCTAATATATTATTATATAATATAATTAATTAATTTATGGTTCATCTATGGTCGATCTAATGAACCGAGAATTCAAGAGGTTGTCTAAGACACCCAGGTAGAACACTGGTTCTATCTAGTCTTTCGTTGTTCCAGAATTCCCAAAGAAGAATTAAAAAATGATCAAAATTAATTTATACATTGACCATATGCTTTTTCTGTTCCATAAAGTCTTTAGTCCCACATGTAAAAGTTAAATATGATATACCCACGTCTAAATATTGATATTATATTTATTTATACAAATATCAATATACTATTAGGGAAACATACATTTCTTCAGTAATTACCAACAATTAAATATCCAAAACGCATTTTTGACGAAGTTCACAACGCATTTGACGACGTCTTAAGAATTTTTCTAACGGGCAATCGGGCGTGAGACCGAGTAATTAAGGCATCTGAAAAGTTTATAAATAGCGATGTCTTGTCTCTCATTCTTACCAATGACTTCCCCCGATAGGAAAGGTAAAGCGACGACTGAGGAATCCTCCCCACTTCCTTCGCTTCCTGATGATTTGCTGTTGACCTGCTTCGCCCGCGTCTCTACGTTGCACTACCCAACTCTCTCTCTCGTCTCCAAGAGATTTAAATCACTCATCGCCTCACCGGAGCTATACAAGATCCGATCCACATTAGGCCGCAACCAGAGTTGTCTCTATGTGTGCTTTGGGTCCGATCATGACCCTAACCCTCGCTGGTTCACTCTCTGCCTGAAACCTGACCGAAACTTGACTAACGGGTCAAGCAGGAATGTTTTGGTTCCAGCCTCGGTTCCCCATTCTGCTCCTGCGCACTGGTCTGGTCTTATTGGCGGACCTTCCAATGATATCTACAACATTGGCGGCCCCCTTGAAGTTGACGATGCTCCATCCTCAACCGAGCCGGGAAACTTGTGGGTGGACCCAATGGTCGATGTCCTTGACAGAAAGATATATATAACAAGAGGTTGCAATCCGAACACTAAAACTTGGGACCCTGAGGTCTCGACCCCTCCCGCTTTTGTAAGCTTAGTGGTTAGGAAGAAAGTTTACATGTTTGGAACCTCTAATGATTCGGCTTACAAACCAAAAAACGGTCAATGGGAAAGGTTCTGGGGCTGGAAACCGAGTTTGGGATGGTTTTCTTGTTGCGTGATTGAGAAGGTACTGTACCGTTATCGTTCTGGAGAGTTCAAATGGTATGACACCAAGGCAGGGCACTGGAGGAAGTTAAAGGGCTTGAAAGGACTGCCTAAGTTTGTCAGTTATGGTTTTCAGTTGGTTGATTATGGTGGAAAGTTGGCGGTTTTGTGGGCTGAGCTTGTGCCTAACGGTGGCGATAAGAAAAAGGTTGTTTGGTGTGCAGTTATTATGCTTGAGAGGCCTAAGAGTGCCGATGAGATTTGGGGGGAGATCGAGTGGTGTGACGTTGTGTGTACAGTCCCCAAGTCATATCAACTGGAGTATGCTCTTGATGCTACTCTCTGATCAACTGGAGTATACTACCTAACGGGTGAATTTTTTATTTATTTATTTATTAATTGTGGATTCTCCTGCAATTAACTTAATTTTACTTGTATCTTTCATAGAAAAGAACCAAAACAAGATATTCATTTGATTCAAGAGTGTTTTCCCTTGAACTGTACAATAAATAATTGTCTCTCTGTTTCTTTGTGATTCAGTGAAAATGTGTCGTAATACTTCTTACCATCTCACCATAAAATGCAAATGGCTTATATTCTTTGTTTTTTTGGTTGCTCTAATAAGCAAATCTCTATTACTCAGAGATTAGGTGTAAATACATGAAAAGCTCATCTACGGTTTTGTTAGTTACTGACATGAAGCAATGACTACAAAAACATCATCAAGCGACCAATTTTTAAGCTTTGATTTATCTGAAGGATTTATAACAGCTTGGTCCATACCCGCAAGGCGATAACCGATTATGATTTCTTGTCTTTGACGAGCCCTTCTCATTATATCATAGAAGCAAACCTCTTCTTGATCATATATGTAGAACTCTGCAGGTCTTATGCACAATTCGTTACCCTGCAGCAAAAATGACTATACTCATCAGAGAAAATTGACATCATTTGTCCACTCTGCGGAAGCAAAGCAAGTTGCGTACCTTCTCAGCGAAAAGCTCTTTTAAAACACGGTTTATTTGTTTATCTTCTGCCACCATCGCAAGAGCCATACTAACTAACTCGTTGGATAGTACGTAATCACTTATTCTGGAGACAGAGACAAGGTTCTTTGTTCTTGAGTCCAGAATTTCACTTATCACAATTGATTTATCTGAAGCTTGCTGCATTTTACGGACCCAACAGCAACCTGGGAGCACGTTTGATTTTGTATCTTTGTAGGGAAGCCGTTTGGACTGTTGATTAATATAGGAAAATAGCAGCTCTCATTAGTAGTCATATATTTGTTGAGACAGGCATACATAAAGATTATCATATACTAAAAAAACAACTAACTGTAATTGGTGTTCAATCCAGAACATGTTTGTTTTGTTTAGAACTAGGGATGTTCAATCCGGTACAACTGAGTCAATAAAACCGGAACAATGGAAAAATACATTTAGATTTGGAAAAATACCATATAGATAGAATGACAGTTACTGAATCAATAAAACCGAAACAATAGAAAATACATTTAGATTTGGTAATACCATATAGATAGAATGACAGTTACTTTTAAGGAAGCGTATTATATGAATATGTTTCAATTATAAACGGATCAAACCGAATAAACTAAGTAATCAAAATAGAGTAGTACAATTATATATTAGTTATATAATATATCTTTATATATATATTATGAACATTGGCTTTATAATATAATATAAATATATGCATAATTTAATTTATTGATATGACTTTGTTATTTAAAACGTTAATTTGACTAATATGTTATTTTGTTTTAAGTTAAGGCTTTTATTGACAGATATTTATGGTAAGATTTAGTTATTTAATCATAATATGATATTATTAACTTTTTATTTTTACTTTACTAAAATTAAAATATTTATTTGAAATAATTATTTTGTAAATTGTTAAATAAAGCAGAAAACATTCTATTTAAAACTTATAGTACTGAAAATTATCTTTTAATAAATTTGAATTAATAATAGAAATTAAAATTGACAAAGATTGTTATGAAATAGAAATATAGTTTTTTTTGGTTTAAATGTTTTAAAATATTTTTTAATAAATTTGATTTTAATAATATAAATTAAACCGAAGAAATGTATAAACGATAGTATACAAATCGAATCAAACCAAATGTGATATTGTTTTAATATGGTAGTTAGTTTTTATAAGCCGAAAAGAACAAAAAGCCGAATTGAAACCAACAGAAATTTGAATTGAACAGCCCTATTTAGAAGACATAGGATATGTACCTGTATATCTCGAATAAGGAGAAGTGTGGCAAGAGATCGGGAGTCTGAATGAACAATAGAGTTTTCCAGTGACTGTTCTGCAAGAATTAAGATCTGCAATTTGATTTGGTAACATGGCATATGTATTCTCAAGCTACATCAACCATATATAAAGCAAAAGGAAACCAAACAACTTACCGAGTCAAAAGTTTCTAGAGGTAAACTCTCTAAATGACGTCTAATTACTGCATTTCCCTGCCTATGCACAAGTCTAATATTCACCAATGTGGATATATCCAATCCTGCATCGGTCAGCTTTTTCTCTCTTTCCTGATCTGGAACTTCATTAAACATCCACAACTCAGATCCAGGCGCAAGCAGAGCTTCTAGCACCTATAGGGATAGAAAGTATATAACCCACAAGATAGTATGTCTACCATCAACTTATTTAGGCTGTAGTTCTTATTTTATATAACTTGCACCTTGATCATATCATCAATGTCACGCCGCCAACCACAAAATAGTATTTTCTCTGGATATTTTGGAGGATTCTGCATTTTTGGAAAATGACACATCCGCACCTATAATGTGAATACACATCTCTATGAGATTGATGTACCGATACAACTATATTAGGAAATCATTTTAGCTTGACAGGGTTTCTATTGTCAATGGCAAAGTAGATTCAGGGTGGCCAACAATTGTATGCAAAAAAAGAAGACAAAACATTTGCATATATTTACATAAGAGGAAAAAAGCAAACCTCTGGAAGTGAACCAGGAGCATAAGTGTCATCATCCTCGGCTATAACAAGTATTTCATCTCCTTCTTCCAGAACATAGTTGTCACTTGGATTCAAAACTATCTTCCCATCCACTGCAACCTTCACTCCGCAGGGAATAGCATCAGGAAATGAAACGAGGACATCTTCAAAACGGTAACCATCAAGCTGAGGCCATTTCTTTATGTAAAATTCGGCATTCTCAAAGCCCAATATATCCTCCCAGATCTGACAATGGTAATATACGAAGAGTTAAAAGCGGAAGTATACATGCATCTCTGTTTTTTTTTTTTCCGTTTCTCGTAAATGATGGAGTTGCCTTCATCTAGAGAGACTAACCTGCGCAAGGCCAGGTTGAAGAGCGCATTGTATCATTAAGCGTCCAATCACATCATGAGCTACAACTGTTTCAATGCCCTCTCCACCAACAAGCTTAACCAATGGCTCGTTGTCAAGATCACACATTTCAACTACAACATGCCCTTTCAAACCCTCCTTCACTCCTGTTAGACTGAGAACCACCCTTAAGGCACGTGCATCGCTCTGTTTAAATTATACTAACGCAATTAATACTTGACAAGAAACAGCATGATCATAGTGATGGAGAGCAAGAAACAACCTGATCAGCGTTTTCATCAGATCCAAGTGCAATGATAGCACGTGCGTTTGAAACTGAAACCTGTGAATCAATCAAACGTTTCACTAGTCAGATGAAGACTTATGCAAGAAAATTTAAGCTTGGAAAACTTGACCTTGTTCAGATCAGCGAGTATAAGTGCACTACCACTTCTACATATAACTGATGTTCCCATCATATCAAATTCAAATTTGGCAATATCAGTCTCCATCTCTTCCTTGTCTCGTTCCGCTAGCACCACCACAACACCTCCACCAATGCTTTTATTTGCTATTGCCAACTGCTTCAAAAGGGAACCCTACACATATACATGATGATTTTCTCTGTTTATAAGCTTTATATATATATTATTGCTAACGTGACACGAAAAGCACAAATTACTTTTTGAGGAAAAAAAAGGGGGTACCAATTTATCACTCCATCCAAGTATAAGTATATGATTGCTTTCAAGGACTTCGCTTTTCCCTTTCCGCAGAGAGTCTACCATGTTAGAGATAGCATCTGAAATGAGTCCAAGCATTGTAGCGAATATCAACATGCCTCCAGCGCTTATAGCCACAGAAACTATCCTCGGTCCGACACCTATCCTATCAGCGTGGTTTCCCGAATCCGCCACAAAAGTCCATGATAGCCAAAGGGCTTCATCAACCCCACAATCGCTGACCGCATACAAGGCTAAGCCACCGTATAGTATAAGAACAAATGTTGCGAAGAGAAGGGCGAGTAGCTTAGCATATGGATATACTGAAAAACACACATCCAGTGAATAAGCTATTCTTTTCTTCAAGGGAACCTCTTCTTTCTTCTTCTTGTTTGTTCGTTTCAGTATATTTTTCTTGACATATGAGAGATCGTCGAGATACATGTACAACAAAATGGGTAAGGCTATAGTGATAATCACAATGTATAAAACAACAGCTCTGTTATTAACATCTTCCAGCTGTAGAGTTTCATTGTTGTCACTGTCTGGAACTCCGGTACATCTTGTTAGAATGATGAACTTCTCTGCCTGTAAAAAAGAAAAGCAGAAGTTGGAAAAAAAAAACCCAATTTAAAGCATCCAGAAGAAGAGACGAAAGGAAAAGTAAAATAAAACTTAGTACAGAAACAGAAGTCTGATCTATTTTTTTCAGACATAGTGTATTATTGTTCATGATTCCCTGGTCCAGTTCCGACCAGAAGAAGAATAAAAGAAAGAAACATACCTCTAGTTTTGCAACTTTAGCTCGAAGTAACATCACATAAAGAAAAGAAAATGAATAAATGAGTTTGAGCTGCAAAAATAGTAAAGTGAACATTAGAGAAGGCCAAAACTAATCTGTTCACTATCAATGGATACAACGTACACAATTAGTGAGAGAGAAATGAGTCCACAGACGAGTTATCCTTTGACTCGGTGATTGAGTCGCCAAAACTTGACTCGGCACCGGTTCAGAGTTGACCACCGCCGCGGTATCAGAGGCGGAGTCATGTCTGTAAGTTGGAATCAGAGGAGTTGTAAATCTTCGATATGATCCCGCCGGCAACGTTTTGGATCTCCGGAACAGAGACGGCTTCTGCGAGCTTCTAGGGCTATGATTCGGCATTGTTTGAGATAAATCAAATAAGAAAATTGATCAGTTCACTATGAATCAAAGTCGCCATGTAACAGATCTAGAGCTTTTTCAGTGTTATGTTTCTTTTTTCTTTCTACTGTTTTGTTACAGTTTTTTGAAAAAATAATGAAAAAAAAGTAAAGGGAGGGAGAAGGCTTTTGATACCCAATTTAGAAATAAATCTTGGTTTTTGAACTTTAAAATAGAAACAAAAGAGTTCTAAAGATAGTGTAAAAGAAGCTACACCATTCTCTGTCTTGTTGTCGTATAATTTCAATGTGTTAACAAAAGGTTTTATTTATCAAGTAGAATTTTTAAGTTTTTATAAAAAATAGATTAAAAAACTAAAATGACAAAAATAATATTTTTTATTTTGATAATTCAAAATTTTTTTCTAAAAAAAAATATGAAGTCTTATCTCTAAAATTTCTCTCCTCGATTCTAAACAAAAAAAATCTAAGACTAATTAACCCAAAGTGTATAAACATATCTATCTTACTAAAAGAGAAATACTGATAAAAAATTACGGTAAAACTTACCACTTATTTACATTGAGATGTCAATGAATTATTTAATAAAAAAAGTATTACACTCAAAATCACATTTAAGTTATCAATAACACTTTGGGTCATTTATGACTATTAGACATTTTTTATTAAGTCCATCTTTACATCCTAACTAATTTAGTTATTTTTTTACGCCTTATCACTGTATTTAAGCTTAGCATCTTCGTCATTCCAAACTTGGGCTCCATCTCCCGCGGCAGCTGCATGTCCTTGGGTACCACCAGTGTTCTGCTCACCACTTCACCATCTTATTTTGTTTGGTTTTATCGCATATCTCGGACGTAATACACACAAGCTTCAATCCGCCGCATTTGTCAAAATCGATTAACAAATCAAAAATTTCAAAATCTCAACTTTGGGTTTTAAAATGTTGAAATTGTAATTTGCATACTATATTCATAAGTTTAAGAGCATATGCATTAATGAACCTGGGCTGGGGTTTATAAAAGTAATTTTTTATTATTATTTTTTTTTATTTTTTTCTGTTTGATTTTTTGTTTTTACAAAAATTAGCGAACTAATCGTGGATCGCCACGTGGGATAGGACCCACATAATAGTGATGACACCGATTCACGCCAGAGACCCCATGTGACTTGAGTTCACAAATTTTCTAATATTTTAATGTTTTTTTGGGAAAGTGTGTGATCCCCCCGTAAAATTTATTAATGTACTTGCTCTAAGGCATAAACCATAAGATCAACTCAGACAATGATGATCTATGTCAACATGGTAGCCATTAAAATGTTGCAGAGAGTTTAAAAGCTTTATGACGAAGACGAAAAAATAACAATTCTGCCATTTAGTAAAAAAACACAAAAAGTATTACATAGCTCCATTAAACCATGTTATCATCTTAATAATTTTTCTATGCATCATTTAATATACATAATATATCAGAGATGGAGAAAATCATTAGAACAAAATTATATATTATTATGTATAAATATTATGTATATATTATTTCTATGCATCATTTAATATACATAATATATCAGAGATGGAGAAAATCATTAGAACAAAAGTATATATTATTATGTATAAATATTCTAAAATTATTCTTTTGTAGAATTTCGGGAAAATTTGTTTAGGCTAAATCCGGGTTGACCACGTGATTTGCACCTATCACAATTCTGAATACTGGTTCAAACAGTGACTTAAACAAACCAAAATAAGGTGGTAACAACTAGACATAAAACATTTAGATACTCGTTCAAATACAAGTCGTTTCTTTCAGATATCGCATTTGTCGGGTTTTGGAATTAGGTCCTCAGGTTTAGGACCCTTTCTTCATATATAAAACACTCAGATATTTACTTCCGATCCAATCGAATTCAGGATCCTGATTTGGGGTGGATTATTCGGGTCCTATTATTTTGTCCAAACCTAATAAAAACCATTAAATTATGAGATATCAAGATGGAGCAAATAGATTTGTCTAAACATACACTAAATTAAAATGGTAAGAACTATAGAAATGCAATATATACACTTAAATGATATAACAAGAAAAGATACTCTAAATCATTCAAATCATTGAATATCATTTCTTGTGAAATATACATTTGAACTGTTGTACATGTGAACATTAATAATATGTGTACACAGTGTTACACCTTCTTCTTTATTTAAATGTACTTCACTCTTTTGTTAAGAATAATTTTAAAAAGACGTACATATAAATGCTTATGCATGTGTACATATATATTTTATAAAAAGGTGTACACAAACCTATGTTGTACACATGTACATTTGATATCATTACTTGTGAAATATACATTTGAACTGTTTGTACATGCGGACAATAATAATATGTGTAGTGTGTTTCACCTTCTTCTTCATTTAAATGTACTTCGCTTTTTGTTAAGATTAATTTTTAAAAAGCTTATATGTTGATGATTATGCACGTGTAGATATATATTTTGTAAAAAGGAACGATAATTGTATATTCATTTTGTTTTGGTGTTCACAAATCTATATTGTACATATGTATATTAAATATATATGATATCCATATGTACATTAAAATATATCATGTTTATCTAATTTTTTTTTTAAGAGTAACTATAATGTCTATCTACTTAATTTTAAGTTATGATAATAATTTTTAATTGTTCTCAAAATGACTTATAATGTCTATCTACTTATTTTGAAGTTAAATTTTATTTTAAAATAAATCATATATAATATACAACCGGAATAAAATAAAGTATATTCTTTCCCTAATCAATATATATGACTATAAATTTATATGAAAGTATATCCAATAAACGTGATCTGTCTTGCAAAGGTTGTTAAATGGCTTTTTATTCCAAAATTGTGATTATTAAAACTAAAATATTTTTTTAGAGTTGTTTGGAAACATGAATAACAATAAAGATGAAAATTGTTTGGAAACTTTGATAGCAGTATAAAAAATAAGTAGTGTATCATTTTAGTAATTTCATTAATTAAATTGCTTTAACAATATATCAAAACATCAATTATATTTACCTTAACAATACATTAATCATTAATTATACTACCGTAAAAGTAATAATGCAGATTTTTATTTATTAACTAATTAGCACTAACTGTGTGTAAACTATAAAAATAAAAAAATGTAAAATAACCCAGTTTTGTATATGGTTAATAGTTCGGTTTAAGTGTTTTAGTAAAGCTTTCTTTTATCTTAGTTCCAATTAGTGAAAAATTACGTAGCCAAACACATAATTCAAATGTATAGTTTATGTGAACAAAATAACGACTTAAATGAAAATAATTGAAACATATTACATTTATTGTCAACTTAATGTTTTACTCCATATACTATATAAAAACATTCTTTCTATTTCACTTATTTTAGTCAAATATATAGAAATAGTTTAAAAAAAAAAATTATTTACAGAATCAGTTAAGTATGGACAATTGAGTATTCATTGAGATACAAGTTGTTTCTTTTGGATCAACTTTAGGGAGCTTTAAAATTAGACCCCGCTTAGATATTATAAATTTCTGTGTGAGATTCATGTTGAGTCTATATCTAAATAACCAATTTATCTGAAACAAGTTACGATATTTGTACCAAAAGTACTTATTATCTGCTACAATCCGGGTCTTTTGAATATAAGAAGTTATACAACGACATAAATAAAATATATAATACTAATCATGAAAAATATAATTTATATAAAACGTAGAAATCAATACCCGTGCGGGTGCACGGATCAAGCTCTAGTATATATTTATTTTTGATAAAAAATTTAAGTCTATTTTTATCATTTTTATTTTAAGATCTATATTTGTGACAAAAACTTTTTTAGGTCTATCCTAGTAAATTTCTCTAACTTATATCTATTTTTTCGGTACAAATTTATTTCTTCATGTTATGTACAGAATTTAAATATTTTTAAACTTTCAAATATTACATTAAAATAATACAGTCAATTTTTTTTTTTTTTGAGAAATAGTCGAACTATCTTTTTCTCTAATAGAAAATAAGGGAAGTTAACTCAAACAGTATGAATTTTATTACTTATTGTGAAAACCATACAAAACTTTTTTTTATTACTACCTTTTTTTTAATACCCAGTATGCCCTTTTTTTTACGTTGTGAGAAAAAACATATTTACAAGAATGCCATTACTTTTTACTGTCACGTAGGCCAAAAATCGGCTCCACGTAAGAATGCGGCATGAAACTCAGCCGTAAAACGTGGCGAATTTTGTTATGGCCGAGTTATAATTACGTTGTGGCTGACTTAAAGAATGCAGCTGACTTATGAGAAATAAGCTGAGTTATCAACATAACTCAGCCTATTGTTACACCTGACTTAAATAAATCGGGCTGGTTTATGTGAGAACGGCTGAGTTACGGTCACATGATACAACTGACTTATACATCGGCAAGCTGATTTTGTGGAAAATCCGGCTAACTTCTAGTTATGATACGGCTGAGTTAACTATCGCGGCTGGTTAAATGATCGTCGACAGGCTGAGTTATGAGAGGTTGTTACGGCTGAGTTATTTTTAATCAGATGGTGTAGCCATGAGTAGGGACATTGGAGAGCTGAGTGAGTCTGATGAGGAAGAGCTGATTGAACCTGTTAAAGGAGATAAAGGTGATTCCGAGGAGACTGATCTAGAGGGGGAACTAGAAGCTGATAATCTTGCAACCAGCTTGTGGGATGGACCAGTAACTAGATCAAGGCTGAGAGCACAAGGGAAGAGACTTCAGCACCTAGTCAAATCCGTGGAGACTAAACCAGAAGAGAAGGACCAAGATAAACCAGCTTGTTGGTTTAATGTTATTTCTGTGTAATTGATTTCATTTAGATTAAACTAAAGACAATTAGGATTAGTAAACCAAGTTCAATTACAATTAGGATTAGGTTAACCAATTTTGAATTGGTTTAGATTTCCTAAACCAATCTGGTTAAGAAAGGGATA